CGATTTACTCATCAGCAAGCTCTAGTTCATAGGATTCGATGACATTTCTCTTAAGTGGATGACCAGCTATCTCACAGGCCGATCACAGAGGGTCAAACTGGATGATTACTCATGGTCATCCCTAAAAGAAACAATCTCAGGTGTATCGCAGGGAAGTATTTTAGGACCCTTGATGATTTCAGTGTTTATTTTTGATTTCCCTACTTTCTTATCACATTGTCAAGTACATCTATACGCAGATGATATACAATTATATTTGTCTTCTCATAACACCGATACAGAAAGTTGCGAGGCCAATATAAACACAGATTTGCACAAAACATTCCTATACTCGGAGAATCATGGACTGAAAATCAATCCAAATAAAACTTTAGCCTTATGCATAAGGTCTCAAAGACAAATAGTAGAAACTCAGTGTAGCTTTAGGCTCACTCTCAATAACGCAGACATTGACTGGTAGACAGTGCTAAAAATCTTGGCGTAACCATAGATAGCTCTTTGTCTCTCCATGAACATGCGACAAACATTTTCAAAGTATCATTCTTCAAACTCAAATCGCTATATAAATTCAAGTATCAGTTATCAGAAGAAATGAAACTCGGGTTAGTTAAAACTCTTATTTACCCCCATATCGAGTATTGTTATTATTATCATTATCTTATAATTGAATAGAACTGGCCGATACTTGATAAAAATCCATATTGAAACTAATTAATACAGTTTATTGTATGATTTTCACTTTATATGCTTGAGTAAGCTATTATATAACGAAACACGTGTTGCTGTTTTTGTAAAACCCAAAGTGAAAATCATACAATAAACTGCATCCAGTTCTATTATAAGGAATGCTGATAAGGGTTTACAATTTGATGTATATAGGAAAAACACTAGCACTTTCGGATATACATATCTCTAAAAGGTCCCACCATTGTGTTTAACAAAAATGGCAAGGCTACATGGGCTGTTTAAGTTGCTTGAGCAAAGTAAGATAAGGATATTGAGAAAAAAGTTTTAAAGGAAATAGCTGAAAGTAACGGACATCTTTCATAGTGGATGAGGAAGAGAAAATTTAGGCAGTATCTTCGTAAATCCTCGAGCATTCGGAAAATCGAAGATTCAAAATTTATAGATCAATATGAATCAAAATAAAACAATGGATTGCTCCTAATTTTTGAAAAATGTATCTTTCAGAAAAGGGGAAGTATGGGATTTACGAAATAAACTATGAGAATTGCGATGTTGGTCAAACTAAGTGGACTAAGTGGATGCATAAAACAAGCACATCGACTGCTAAGGAGAACCCTAGGGATAATAAAGGATAACTGTTATAATAATGTATGTTGATCTAAGTATCTTGTTATATCGAAATTAAAATAAAATTGAATTGAATAATAGCTCTCTACAAGGAACAAATTTCACATATTTGGTTTCAAAGATCAGAGAAGTCTAGTGTTGCTCAACATGCCATAGAGACATACCACAGAATAAGTGAGAAATGTTAGAAATTGTTGAGACAACATATGAACAGGTTTTCAGATGCCTTCGATGCTTGAAATAACAAAACGAGGCAAAAAATCAAACAAATTATCATGGAAACGATACAAAATGTTTCAAAAGACTTTCAGCAACACCACCATTATTGTCAAGTAAAGTTGAATAGTTTGAATATTTGTCACGTTCTTTTGTATACTTATCAAAATGTCATGTTTTTCAATAGAATAAACATGAAGATTAAAAAACACATTGTTGGATAAAGAAAAGAGGTTGCAGTATTAAGCTGTTTTCCAGTGATTACCTATTCAGTTTCATCTAAATAAACGCCATTTGAATCAGTGCACTTTTGCCAACGTAACACAAGTCTATTAATTCCGTCGGCATAAAAATTAGATGCTCGGGATTAGGTATTATCGAAGTGCTTGAAAAGATGGTATTTGGTTGGCGAGAGGTGAGTGTGGTGCAACTTTGATTTGTTTAATTTTCGTACGGTAATTTGTGAAACGTGCGGACGGGCGTTGTCCTGGAGTAGGATCGGACCTTTTCTGTTGACCAGTGCCGGCTGCTGCTGAAGCAATTTTTGATACATTTTGACGGTTTCTTCACAATAGGACTCTGCCGTGATGGTTTGGCCCGATTGTAGAAAGTTATAGTGAATCACAGTAGCCGCTGACCACCATACTGTAACCATGTTTTTTTATGGGTTTTCTCATTTGGGGAGTGCCTGGTTAGCTCATCGGTGTCCAATCAGTCCTGAATGTCTCCTTTTCATCACACTTGACTATCCGATCCAAAAAAGGATCGGGGAATGCCTGGGTAGCTAATCGGTGTCCAACCACTATCCTGAACGTCTCCTTTTCATCACACGTGACTCTCTGATCCAAAAAAAGGATCGTTTTGGTTGCGCAGAAGTAAAGAATTACAGACCTAGAAACATGACAGTTTCGTTCAAATCTTAAGGCACCCACTTTTCGAGCTTTTTGACTTCTCCAATACATCAAAAACCGCATAGGAGCTGACACCCAGTATTTCGGCCATCCCACGCACTGTTTGTGATAGGTCAGTCTCCATCGGGGTCCTCAAATTTTCGTTCTGGATTACTGTATGTCGACCACTTCAGAGCTCATCTTTGAGGCTGAAATCTCCGGAACGAAATTTCGCATACAAACATCGAAGGGTGCGTTCATTAACACTATCATTGTCAAATGCCTTGTTGATTTTTTGGTCCGTTTCGGCACCGCTTTGTTTCAATTTGAATTGGTGGAGAAAAATTGGCCGAAAATCGCTTAACGACGTCATATAAATAATAAGCTGAAAAGAGGCAAAACATTAAAATTTGGGGTAAGTCAATAGCATCAATTTATAGAGTACAAAATTCTCTATCGCTCAGTATATACCACTACACAGTAGAATAAATAATTATTGAGATAAGGAGCTACAAAAACATGACATTAAAACGTACAAAACTTTTGAAACATAATATTTATAAACAATTTAGCCGTTTCGTATGGACCGAACCGAATAAATTGGACTAACACTAATTGTGAATGTTAAATAATAATAAGAATAATTTTTATTTCAACCTAAAATACATAATACTCCGCTCGTCTTATCTCAACAAGTGAGGAACAAAAATACACACATAATCACAATTTACAGTATAATTTTTTGGATTTATCAAGTAATCATAGTTAGTCTTCTAGAATAATTACTATAGGTTCAAAGTGAGTGGGTCTATTCGACCCACTAGCCCTTACTAGCGCCCGACGAAGCAGGATCATAAAAGTTTTTTTTGGGATTATAATCAATTGTCCGATTATTGGACCGTACGTAGCCAATAATATTATTAGAGCATAAAATGGTGTTAACTTGGAATTAATTTATCATTCTCCTTGACAAAGCTTATAGCAAAATACATGTCGATGTTTTGAAAACCTTTTATAGCCGAAATTTCACACTAAATTGTGATAGTATGTATTAGTATGGATTTTCATCAACTATCGGTCAGTTCCATTTAAATGCGTGTTTGCCAGATTGTTAAAATAACGTCATTATCCTCCGACATTAGATGGAATATTTCCATCTCAAGTTCAATATTTCAGAATTTAATTAGAAGGCATGCCAATGTACAAACATTTCGAAACTAACTACGAAACTAACAGAGGTGGATTTGTGATGTGATGGTTCTCAAAGCATATTATAACTAGAAATTTATGAAAACCCACATTCACATTTTAATATAATTTCATTGTTTTCAGTGTTTACTTTTGAATTCATATTTACAGGATATGTTTAGTGAGTTGTTTGAACTTATTTAAAATTGATTGTTTTTATAAGTCAAAGTCTCAGCAATGACTGGAGAGCTCCTTATTCACTCGTATTTATAATTCTAGGAGGTGAAGGGATGAACCCTCCATTGAAACATATCTGTTGGTTTCACTATGTTGATGATAATTTCGTTATTTCAAGCTACGGATAACAAGCATTAGAAACGCAACATCCACTCCATTCTCCCATGCATACACTTCAGCATATAAATAGGAAACAGAAAGGCTGACTGAAAATTAGGTGACACAGTTTATAGCAAACCTACTCATACTGATCAGAACTCTAACCACCATCCAGGGCAAAAACATGCTATGATGAAAACATCCTAGCAGAAATGCCCCAATACTTTACCTCGATCTATTTTTAGGAGAGATTAATTTTTGGGAAAGGAATGTTTTAGTTGTCTACTTCTCCGTCTTTATACAAAAAAATGTGGGAATCTTACAAAGAAACCAAGGAAGCAATCAATTTCAAAAAGGTAACTCTATATAAAGATGTGTAGAGATCATGCAAAGAATTAACTTTGAGACACAAATTGAAAGAAAAACCTTCTTGAAACAGCTACTTCCATATAAACATTGAATTACAGGAAAGAAAAATACTTTCGAAACAAATACTTTTATATGAACACCGAATTATACAAAAAAAATTTTCTTTATTCAGTTTGTATTTCAAACATTCGTTATGGAATTGAATCAGATATCATTCACAGATCTATAAGTATCCCATACAATTTCAAAATAAGAGAAAAAGGTATATGGGTCAACAAAACGTGGTATCCAGTACTCAAGAAGACCAGCAATGGAGTAAATACAACTTCAGTAGTCATCCCACCTGTCAACAACAACCAATCAGAACAACTTAGCACAAGTGCAAACCAATCACGAGTGAGCATTCTCATGTTACCTCCACCACTCCCTAAAATTATGAATACGAGTGAACACGGAGCTCCCAATCAGTTGCTGAGACTTTGAGATGCTCTTTCTACCTCACAGTCAACGCATATACCATTGAAAATGTCTGCCCAAGTAGCAGACGAAACGTTTGCTGCTGCGTGTTTCATTTGTTCATGGTCTACCAGCCCACATTTTGTTATTTCTAATAGTTATAAGTTTTTGTAATAAAGCACTGAGTTCTCTATAGTTTTGTGATGAAGCATGTTCTTTCTACTTTTCCAGGTATTCTTTTCAAAACAGTGACAGTGGGGTAGAAGATGACTGTCCAGGATGTATATCGGTTTACTGTCTAGCGTGTATGGAATCTCAAAATGAAGCTCTGAGAGACGTTGACAATCTTCTTATGAGATTAGAGGAAGCTGAAAGCTTATTTCCTTCTAGTAAAGCATTTGCAGAATTGTATCCTTTGTATAGCTCACCAGAAATCGTAGGCAGAGTCAAAGCTATGTGCTTGTGGTACAATCTGACAAAACATCACAGGCTGAAATTGAATATTCTCGGAAGACTTCTAACCACTTTGGATAGTAAGCATACATGTTGGGCTATATCTGGTGACGATACCAATTCAGGTAATTATTCTCAAAAGACAAGACAACTCTTCATTCATCCACAAAGCTTTTGAAAGTGCAGCACAGAATTATTATTCAACTTGCAAAAATTTCGGGAATCGATTTGATGAGAATTATTTTAAAATTTGAAGTGACAAAAACTCTTCATCGAAAAAAAGCTTTGTAGAACTGGAGGTACAAATACCTTTTATGAATAGTATATTCTAAAACCTAGAAATGTGTATATTATTAAGGCTCTCTCAATTACCGCACCTATAACTTTTGGTCTCTCCTGGTATCAGTGAAAATTTTAGTGGTTCATTTGGTATCACAATTTGGAATGATTAGGTGAAAATTATTTTTTATAGCATTAGCAGGAGATTATCACGCCCACTATATTTTTACTATATTTGGAGTCAGCTGTTCATTTAATATATGAAAATTCTTTTTTAATGAAAAACACAGAGAACATACCATTTGTTTCTATACTAATATTAAGAGATAATAAATGCTTACTATAAATGCGAAACGCTAAGAGTGCTCAAACAAAACTTTATGATTTCTCCATAACTTGTCACAGATGGTATAGAGAGGATTACAATACTTTACCGCAAATTTATGAGCCCTCGAGTCGTTCTATATCTGCAGTGGCGTGAGTTTGGGTATTTAATCAAAAATGTTTGTCGAAAATAATAACTATGTTTATTTAAATAAGTAATATTGTTATAACACTTTAATTTAAAATATACTCATGCTAATAAATAAGTATGTATAGGTATTCAAGATGATTTAGGTATAAGCAAAAATGATGGTTTGTTATTATTTGATGAATCCGATGAATCTTAGTGAAATTTTATGATTGAAGATTTTACAATTTTCTCATCTAAATGGCCTAATTTTCACATGTTGTCTGTCCTCTTCTTTTATAACATGTTATATACATTTTCGACATTTCTCGGAATCGACATTTTACAAGAACTCTTTGGATAGTTTTTAAGAAAGAAAGTTTGACTTTCTACTACTCCTTCCACGAAGAGTATTTTAACATCTTCTGAAAGTCGTGTTTCTTCCCGCAACAAAACCTTTTTCTTGAACTCAAACGATTTCAGTGGGATTAATTTCGCACTGATGAGATGTGGCAGACGTAGAAAAATAGTATTTCCCTGAAACAAGCTTCATTTGGAGATACAATGGAAAATAGTTTTTTTTTTCAGAGGCTTTCCTTTTGTATAAGGCGACTTTAAATCGGTTAACCGGAATTCTTAAATGGTTCGACGTGAACTTATAATTTTTTTTGTCTTGCCACATCTTTCCAAAGGTATATGCTTCATTGAGCCGAGTTTCATCCAGATAATAAATCTTTCTACTCTCGCGTCGAAACGTGAGAATAGAAAGATAGGTAATGTCTCCTCCAACAAATAATTTCATCATTTTCTATTTTGTTTTTCCCAGCTCAAATTAATTAATAATAATAAGATGTATCAAGATGGAGTAGTAGAAAGCTAAAAACTTTCTTTGCCAAAAATTAATCAATCCTGAAATATAACCCTTTCAATTAAAACAATAATTTAATTTGCAAACTCAATATTATTTATATAATAATAACAAAAATGTATCGAATCATGACGTCATTCTCTTTTCCAGCAAAAATTGAAGATATCTCGGGTATGCTTGATTAAAAAGTATTTTTCATATAAAGTTTTAAAAATTTTATTCGAAATTGAAAAGTAGAAACAATTTTGAGTGTTTGATTAAAAACAAAAATAATTATTATTTATGTGAGTTTTCCATATTTTTGTTACTCACCATATACATACAACTATAAAAAGTCTTAAGATTTGTCATATCAAATCATACAACAAAATTGAATGTTTAAAATAAATACTACACATTTCACTTTTCAACTGACCCAATTATGTACGCTTATGTAACAGCGACTTGAAAATGATTTATTACTCTGCTGGAGAAGAAGGCTGAAAATCACAATTATGATTTTTTACAAGGCTGTACATAGTATCAATATTTTGGTGAAATAGGAATCTTTCTGAATAATTTGATGGGTTCTAAAATTTATAGGGGCGAACCAGAATCTTTTTGAATGATTGTATTAAAATAATTCATAACTTTTATGTGATCGGTTGAAAAGTCAGGTATGTAAAAAACGTTTATTTCATTTCAGGTAGTCCTTCAGACAGTAAAAACAGCACAACCTCTTCCTCGAGTGATTCGATTACCTCTATAAGGAATGATTTGTTCAATATAACTCCTCTAGCAACGCTCCTATTTCAAACAGCTCAGAATAAGGTATCACCTTATAGACGATATATAGAAAATGTGTTGAAAATAAGGGCTTTGGACAAAAGTTTGAACTTCCTGAATCATTTGCACCGCCACTTGCTGAAAAAGGCTCAATTGACTCTGGTTTTTCCAGAAGATGAAGAAATATTTTCTGAAGTAAACTTCTATTCAGAAGCTGTGGAATTACAACGGTTTGGAGCCTGGAGCCCAGAAGCTAAAAGCCTGAATCTTCCTTCATACCGTTCAATGTTTGTGTTACTTGCTATGGTGCCATTAGAGGTTTTACATGAGTATTTAATGATGCGCCTGGAACAGAAACCAAAAAATCCATCTCATCTTAGTATCAGACAGTTAATGCGAGAATTGAAAGAGGGGTTAAAATTAGCTATCAAAGAGAGGCACTTGTCCCGCAGCTACATAAAAGCAGCTACTTGGGGCACTGAGATCATCACCGAAAATTATCAAGAAAGACTCGAAAGTTTTGACAAATGTCTTAAGCAAGTTTTTATAGACTTCTTGGACTACTTGCAACAGTGGATTCTCTTTGACAAGTCTAAATTTCAGAAAGACGTATTTGAAGAAGAGTACAAATTTTCAGTATTTGTTTACCAAAATGTTCCTGATGTTAAAGAAAAGGTTGGCAATACGTTCACCTTCATTTCGGGGACTATTCTGCAAAGGATCGGTCAGAGACTAATAACTAGGATAGAAGAAATACTAAGTTTAGTCATCAATAGTAACCAAGGAATGAACAAGTATGTATGTTGAAAGTTACCGAATTTATAATGTTTTTCTTACTATCTTCATTTCTTACTATCTTCATTCGGGTTTGAAGAATGTCGTAGTTTGGAACTGCATCTTTTTTTTTTAAGTTTCGCCAGCACGAGTACCATCTTCTTCAGATGATTCACCGATCACTCGGTGAATCAAGATGAATAAACCTCTGAATAAGCCGGCTACTCATGCGGGCAAACCCTAAAAAAAAGGATGCAGTTCCAAACTACGATGGCCTNCCGGTACCGATGATGCCCAACAGGCTGTAACAGCTGTCTACCGATGGCTCTTAAATTTAAATCAAATTGGGAATGATCAGAATAGTAATCTTCTTTATCATTTGAATTTCATGGAATTATTTTGCAGCAGCTTAACTACATTAACTAACTATATTATTTCTAGAAACAGGTGGATTCGTTTTCCGATGATATTCCATTAAAGCCTTCAAAATTTCTGCCAATGCAGTTGTCAATTGATCACAATATCAAATCAAACCTGTGAAGCATTTATGCACAGTTCTAATATTTAGTCACAATCATATTTGAATATTTGATTCCATTGGTTCAATTTGATTAGGACATTGACTGAAATTGTGAGAATAATGTATAACTAGGTCCCGAGAGTCACATATAATTCAAGAATAATTACAACTAGACGTTAATTTCATAGCTGTCAGTTTTATCACTGTTGAAAAGAAGTGGTTCATCTCTGTGAAATTGTATATTGGTGGCTCTTTTTATTGAATAGACTACAAGAACACTAACCTCTAAATTAAATAGATACGGTTCATCAATTCGTCTAGTGGCATTTTTTTCTCAACTAGTATGGCTCTTTTTTTCCCAACTAGTATGTCTTGTGCGAGCTAAGGACTAACGAGGTCTTACCTTTTAACGTGTGATTCCTAACACGGAAAACTGTAATTGTCATGAAACTAATTTTTGGGGCCTCCGGATACAAATTCGGTTATATGTGAGCCAGAGCCATAACCTGTTAACTCATCAGTTATATCACCAACAAGCTGTCCTGTGGGGGATATCATATTCCTTCGATTTAGACACGTGGATCACAGAATCTGTATCGTAATAAAGGACTATCACATCAAGCCTCTCTAAAGAGCTGGTTCTCACGATCAAAATGAAAAATTAGCTGTTTTTACATAGCTTTGTAACGATTTGGTTGCATATTTCGAATCAATCAACAATCACCTATTTTAATAAAAAAAAGGGCTAATGAATGTAATGAAGTGTTTGGAGAGCAATCTTTCTGCTGTTAGAACCTTAAAAGAAACTGAAAATTGTTCTGCCTTTTCTGTGGTCTAATGAAAATTATTCACTCCACAAATCTTTATGTGGTTGAGGTAAGTGAACCACCTGAAAGGGGGAATCTTTTCAATCTAAACAAAAGCAACACATCATAACCGTAGATTTTATATACCTTCTATCCTTCATTTGCCCTTACCCATTCCTATAATTAACAAAATTCAAATTGACGAACTCATCGTGATATTGTACGAAATAATGAATCATCTCCATTAATTTAGAGATGACCAGTTGTGTAATCTATTCAATAAAAAGAACAATATGTACTATGTTAGAGTTACCCATTTCTTGATTTCTGATTGTTTGATCTGGGGGTATATTAATCTGTAAGTGAATTTACGGCTTTGTTTTCTGACTAGCTTCTGGATTGTATCTCCGTTGAAACCATCTGTGTAATTATATCAATTTCCCTAACCAGATTGTTAGCCAACAAAGGCAGTGAGAATGCTCTGTGCAACATTGAATTGTAGGCTGCTAATTTATGACTGTCTGACAGGGTTTCTGAAAACATTGAACTCAAATTTATTCTGATCGCGTGTAATGGTCAGGTCTAAGAAATTTATCTGTTTCTCTATCTCTGTTTCGGGTGTGAATTGAATGTTGCTATTGAAATTGTCATAAATTGGTTCACCTGAAACAGGCGAGAGTATCTCGCCTGTTTCAGAGGTACTACACGACAGATCTGTTTCAGATCTAACAATCAGAAATCAAGAAATTGGTAACTGTAACATATTTTGGTAAAAGAACAGAGATAATTGTGGGTTTGTTCAGAAAATCAACGTGGAAGTGGCATTCAGACCACATGCCAGGTTATCTGATTTTCTTTTCAATGTCAAAGATAAAGTGGACAAGTTGGAGAAATCTGGAGTTTATAAGCTTAAGTGTCCGAAGTGTAATAGTGTTCATGTGGGACAATGTGGCCGAAATTTCTCAAAACGGTATGCTGAACATGAAAGGTCATTCAGACTAGGTAAAAATGATTCCACGTTGGGGTTGGTAGAGCCACACTGCATCGCGCTCCTTGAGGCTCAACTGGCAGCGACTTTTTGTCGAATCTTATTTTCATCCTGTCGCTGGAAAGCTGTTATTTGGTCCCGGCAAATTCGTGTACAATTTCCAGTCTCTCCTTCAGGTCATTCACATACTCTGAAAGCGGTACCTCTTGAGATTCATCGAAAGGACTGTCATACAATACTTTTATCGGAAGCTTCAACTCCCTACCAGTTAACAACAAGTATGGTGTATAACCTGTCGCGTCATGTTGGGAGCTCCCGTATGCCAACAGAAAAAGATGAACCAATTTATCTCAGTCTCTTTGGATTTCAGAGACAAACATCGAGAGGTAGTTATTGATGGTGCGATTATGCCTGTCGACCATTCCATCGGATTGTGTGTGAAGAGCAGTTGTTCTTGTCTTCTTTATTCCCAACAGAGTCATCATTTCCTTCCATAAATCAGATTCGAAATTGCGGCCCTGATCCGAGTGTAGATCTTGGGGTACTCCATGTCTGGCCATTACGTTCTGCAATAGGGCTTCTGCCACCGTTTTAGCCTCTTGGTTGAGTAAGGCTACTATTTCAGACCATATGACAAAGTAGACCATCACAACCATAAGGTACTTGTTACCAGATGAGGTCATAGGGATTGGTCCCAAAATGTCGACTTCGATTCTCTCGAAAGGATACCCACTGAGGTACTGCTTCAACTTTCCTCTTTGCCCTGTCTTCGGACCCTTTCTCGAGGAGCACAGTTCACAGCGCTTACACCACTCTTCCACGTCTCGACGGCAATTGACCCAATAGTACCTCTCACGCACTCTCACTAAAGTTCTATTTACTCCAAAATGACCTCCAGTGCGACCATCGTGAAGCTGTTCGAGGATACTCAGGATACACGTCTCACGATCATCTAGAATTTGTGGGTTCTTCCATCCGGGCTTTCCCATTTCCGAGTGAGTAGGTCATCTCGAATGCTCAAGGAGTCCCATTAGAGCCAGTGCTTGGAAATGTCTTGCTATTCCGGCCTCACTCCTTTGGCAATCCATTCTCGCACAGTTTTCAAGGCGGGATCCTCCTTCTGCGCTACGATGATGTCTTGCCTCGTCAGGAGGGTAGTGTCACCCTCAGAGGCTCTTAACGACCGTACCACACCATGGTCAGGTGATTCCTCAAATTATCTGTCCATATCTCTGGACAAGGGACCCTTACAGGTTGCTACCCTCCGGATCAGAGGGAACCCAATGCGGCGGGAGATAGGGGAGAGTTTATCTCCCTATCAGAGCTGTCTATAATGGAGTCTCTGCCCGCTACCTTATCACGTCTGGTGGGAAGTTCTTCTGGTAGCTGAGTATCCTTGTCATCCTGGCGTTGACAAAATTTGCATCCGGATGTCAGGCATGGTCTTCTTAAGAGGCTATCTGCGTTTCCGTGACTCTTTCCTTCCCGATGTTGAATTTCAAAAACGTAAGTTTGCAACTTTTCAATCCACCTAGCTACTTGTCCTTCTGGTGTTCTGAAGTTGAAGAGCCATCGAAGTGTTGAATGGTTTGATCTGATAAAAAATTTACGGTCATATAAAAAGGAGTGGTAGTGATCCACCGCTTTGACCACTGCGAGGAGTTCTTTTCTAGTAACGCAGTAATTTCTTTCTGACGTTCCCAGGGACTTACTAAAATAGCTGATGACCACTTCTTCCTCTTGTACCTGGGAAAGTACTGCCCCTATTCCATGTCGGGATGCATCCATGTCCAATATGAACAAGCCCTACTCCTTTGGGTATGCCAGGATCGGTGCGCTGATCAAATGTCTCTTCAGGACAGCAAATGCTTGCTGGCAGTCTGGAGACCAAACGAAAGGTGTTCTCTTTTCAGTTATGCAGCGGTCTGGAGATTTTTCCAAAGTCCTTCACGAAACGCCGGTCATAGCTACTTAGTCCAAGGAAAATTCTTACGTCGTGCTTGCTCTTTAGTGTTGGCCATTCTTGCACTGCCTTGATTTTATCTGGATCTGTTTCAACTCATTTTGGAGACACAACGTGTCCTAAGAAATTCACCTTTTCCTGAAAGAGGCAGCACTTCTTAGGATTAATCTGCAAATGGGCATTCCGTAGCCTTGTGAAAACACTCCTCAAGTTTGACAGATGTTCGTCAAAACTTTTTCCGGTGACTATAATGTCATCAAGATAGACCAAGCATGTTGTTCAGGTAAGTCCTCTCAACACCAACTCCATCAAGCGTTCAAATGTTGCGGGTACGTTACCTAACCTGAACGGCATAAACTTAAACTGGTATAATCCATTGCCGGTGGAAAAAGCAGTCTTCTCTTTATCCTTGGGGCAAACTTCCACCTACCAATATCCGCTTTTCAGATCTAATGTTGAGAACCATCTGCATTCGGCCAAGATATTCAGGGTGTCATCTATTTTAGGGAGAGTGTAACTGTCCTTTCTGGTGACATCATTAAGCTTCCTGTAGTCTACGCAAAATCTCGTCGATATATCTTTCTTAGTCACAACAGGTGACGACCAGGGGCTGTTTGATTCCTTGATTACTCCTTCCTCCAACATGTCCTTAACAATGGATGCAGCTTTGTCTTGTTTTGGGAAGGGAAGACGTCTCGGTGGTTGACGTATGGGATTGGCATCGCCAGTATCGATGCGATGTTGAACTAAATCCGTTCGCCCAATGATTTTGCCCTTCACATCGTTCTCTTCTTCGACGAATCAGGTGTCCTTGCATAGTTCTTCTTCAGACTGATGGTTCCACGTCTTCTTGAAAGAGTATATGAGATCTTTTGCGGGTTGTTGAGCACGCTGTAGAGGGACTTCTTCTTTTATCCTGGCGATTTTCACGATAGGTTCGCAAGTGCCTATCACTTGCTCTTTCTTGAGAGTCACCGTGTTATTATTAGGGTTGATTATTCTTACTGGAATGGTCTGATTGTTACCATTCACGAGGGATCTGGCCACGATAATTCCTGATTCAGAGCCGTTAGATGGCTCTATCAATGCTATACTCAAGCCGCCAGGTCCAGCTATTTCCGCTTGAAGAATTTTCTCGGTGTTAGAAGAGATTCTGGAATCTTCCAGTATAACCACCTTGACGCTGTCATAAGACTGAGACGGCACGTCGAAAAAAAAATCCTCATTTCCGACTTTCAGCAGTTTAGCAATGATGAGACTATTATTAGCGAAGATACAACTCAGTACCCTTCTGGCAGTATCTGTATCTGTAGAGTAGGGAGGGTGAGTGTAGACCCTCAGCACTTAGGCCACATGTGACCCATTGTACATGTGTCCTCCTAGGTCATCGTCCATCCTGTCCTTTCCAGGAAGGTGGACAGGTCACTAGGAGACATCTCCTTTCTATTGGCAGGTGTAGGCCAAGACTCGCCGAACACACTATCTTTGGCAACCTTGAGGTGTCTTACGGTGGCCTTCGCGTAGGTTTTGGAAGCTGCAGCGACATTACTGTCGTTGCGCGGCTTCTTCAACCAAGGCAGCCGGTTCCTTCCCTTTATTCAAGGGAATACTTTATTTTCTAATAAGTCATTTTTTGTGAAGGAAACTCAGTTTTTTATTGACCTCCTTTGGATATTTCCACCTTCCACAATCAGAAAAATATGAAAATTGTAATGGATAACTTAATTAATGGAGAACTTAACACACGTGTAGAAAGTGCAAACTTTTATTTTCCACCGATGAGTTACCGCGTAAATTCAAAGTGTTTTTCACATTTATTTCATTTCATCTGAGTCTAGACTAATGGTCCTGCGTCATTATACCCAGAAATTTTCATTTCAATAACCCTTTGATATTCACAAATCAGATTCAATAATCATCAAGGACAAATCATACGAGTCATGATTATGAATTCAACTTGTACAATTTGGTAATAGTGAAGAATGTTTTTAATTATTTTTTGTCTTATTATTATAGAATTTCCGCGTTTCGCTACATATTGGCTTCCATCAGTTAGTGGTAAATTAAACTCTTCTTCAATGTCTTTTATATAACAGTAGGTAATGACGAAACTTATCAGATAAATGATAAAATCTGGTAAAACAGACATATAATTTATACTTTTATAGGAATAGTGTTATTAATTCACCATAACTTCTCAAATAATTTTCTCAATTGTGAATGGTGATTTTAGGCACAATTTATTCTCGGTTTGCCGAGAGTTACAAACTCTCTTCAATGAAGAGCGTGAGATGAGTCTCAAAACGATGTTTTTTCTCAAGACTAACTACGAAGAGAACTTTGCACCATCAGAAAATATGAAATTTGTTGGGGTGAGCAGAAAAATAATAGTGAAACTTTGGAAGTCTTTGTTTTATTTTATTTTTTACAGGAATCAATTATTGCCTTGAAATGCATTATACCTGACGCCATAGGCAGAGTTCAAAGGTTATTTGACCATATAAGTACTGCTAATCTGGACGACTGTGATAAAACGGCACTAAATATTAGAATAAGAGAAATCCTAATGCAAGTTTACCGTTTTGGATTTGAGGTTGGTTTATACTTTCATTGTGAAGCAATATTTAACCTGGAAATGTGGTGGACGTAATTCCTCAATATCAGTCCATTAACAGTTTTTTTTTAAACAGTGACTCCTTAAAAAAACAAGAAAACTTTTTGTAGAGAACTGTATAGCAAACAAAAAACAACAAGCGATAAATGTGGTTGTTACTGGTGAGAATAAAGTTATTCATTCGAATGAATCGTATACATGTTAACTTTTACGTCAATTTATATCTTCAATTTATTGTTTTTCACTCATCTCTATTGTATGATTTGTAATGTTATTTAAAGGCGAAAATATTCAAAAATCATTAAATTATAGGCCCTGAAGTAGCTTCCCATTAAAAGCGAAAGCTTGGCAAAGTAAAGCAGAGTTTGATTTTTGACTGAGAGACCCTGTTAATCCATTTTACCATACCAGTCGCTATATTTTTTGAATGATGCAACTAATTTTCCTTTATTTTCAGTATTTCAATATTAAATTTCACAAAAAGGATTTGAAGCTTTATATCTTCTATTAATTATCTGCGAGCGCTTTCGACAGCTGGTCGTACTGTCATCTTCTAGGCACTCCTCAAACTGAACTTGTCATCCTGTCGTCAGTTTCTTTATACAGTCAGATCGTCTCAACTCAGGTATTTCTGGTACTTTAGGTAAATTTGCATGTATTTGTACTGCATCAGGTACTACTCTGTGTGTTAGATCTTCTCTAGGAATGTGTATGGTTTTTGTTTAATATATTGAATGTGAGGTCTTGTTGTGTTTTGATTTGTACTTGTTCCTCGATAAGTGATTTATGATTGTTAAATTTATGGATGTTCAAGTTTTCCCAAATGTCCATGCGGTTTCCCATGTTGACTTGTTTTATGAGTTTTATGTTCTCTNAGACTCGAACATCATTTGCAACCTTGATACCTTGATACTCTGGAACATCGAAGAAAGGTTGGAGCTTTGTCTCTCTTCTATAGATACTTTCACGGGAAGTGTTCAAGTGACTTGGCACATTTGATTCCACCAAGAGCGGTACATATCAGAAATACGCGACAGACTGTGGCTGCTCATCTTTGTGAGGTTCAACTCAGTACACCTTGAACTTCTCTGTTTAAGAACTCTTTCATTTGGAGAACTGCCTTATGTGGAATAAACTTCCTGAGAACGAACAATGTGAATTACCGCATCCAAATATTTTGAACTCGTCTGCAGCTAACCGCAAACGAATCTACTAAAAAAAGGAATAGGAGTGTAATAAGAATGAAGAGAAATACGTTTATTCGATCACTGACATATTAACGTCATTGAAAATTTGAATCAGTTTAACAATGAAATGAAAAACTAGATGAACATTACAACAAAGACGAAATTTTGCAGGTGAATTTATTTCCCCCAGGAAATACCCCAATGCGGGTATTTCCTGGGCAAAATATGACATTAAAGTCTCATATATATCAAAATTATGAAATTTGAATCATATTTCGTTAGAATCGATAGAGCGAAAGATTTGAAAAATTAAAAAAATTGGGAAAAAGTCGAAGTTACAGTAGAGAGTCCAAATTTTGAGCAAGGGTATAAAATTTGAAATTGAAAAACTTTTATTTTTGGCATATTACTGAAAACACAGATTTTTGAGGATTTTGGAAAAAAATGTTGAATTTGACAGGTTTGGAGTAGCACATTACAGAAGTAAAGAGGCTGCTTTTTACTAATTGTAATTTATTTTTATTGTAATTGATTGAAAATGTCCTTATGGGAGGAAACTGCAGTAACATTAGTTACAAATACAAGAGGTTAAAAAACATAGGAAGTTTCATTTCTCATTTTTCATAATGATCTCCTACCACGTAGTAAGGGCTAGATCCATCAATTCACAAATGATTCTTCTGAACAGAAAAATCAATAGTTCTTCTGATAGTGTTTCAATTGAATTTCTGTTTCTTTTCTATTATTGTATTCTATGGCTTTCTTGCAGCTGAAAAAGCAAATGCGTCACTGGAATCAATGAAATCATCCCAGAGCGCCGATTAATTTTTGTTGTTTCATAATTTAATGATTTGTATTACCTTCTTTAATGGACAAATGATATATTCTATGGTAAACTTTGAAGAATAAATAAATTTAATATATTTTCGTTTGTAGTTCTACAAGGAAATGGGAGATTCAACTCCAGCAGAATATCGTCCTCGTTTGGTTGAAAGCTTGCTATCATTTGCAAAGCTATGGATGAAATTTGTCACAGAACGTTGTGAACGAGGAAGAGGCATGCGGCCAAGATGGGCTCATCAGGGCATGGAGTTTCTCCTTACAGTATGCGAACCTGCTAACACTAAACATTTATCTGAAGAAATGTTTGAAGATCTCAAGAAGGACATGGACGTTTGTATCTCACATGTTATCGGTACTACTGCTCCTTCGACTCCGGAGAGTGGTTTTCATTCAGCCTCAACAAGGAGCAGTTTGGAACATGTTCGGGCTAGATCAAGGGGTTCATCGCCCAGCCCTCGACCAACTTATAAAAGTCAAAGATCCAAGGGAAGAAAAATCAGTACAGAGCAACAATCTCCAGTGACAGACTATTTGGATGCAGTTAATTTAAATTCAAGGTTAGTTTATTGCTATATCATACGCCACTTTAATATTTGATCAAGACTAAATAGTTTTCTGATTTTAATGTCATTTAGAAATCTTCCGAACTTTCAGAAAAAAATAAGAATACTTTGTTAACTATCACCTTTCCTTCCATCGAACCGCCCTTCTGTTCAAAGAGAACACAATCGGGCTAGTAGGCCATGACCGAATGGAACCTAAAGTACTAAAAGTTTCGTTTGCTACTGTGGCAGACATTACCAGAGATATGTGGGTTTACTGCGAGGACAAAAGTTATATCCTTAAGTCTCAGCAACGGTCGTTTATTGCTGTCCACCTAGGACAATCACGCTGGTCTAGCAGTACCACCACTCCATCCGAGATGCTGACAATACGTTTCTCAAAGGAGCAGGAATCTGCCAAGCATTGCATCTCCAGTCAGTTACATTACAGATTTTAAAGTAACAACACATATAAATTTACCCCTGTAAATTTGATTTTCTTAGTAATAAAAGTAATCTTTTAAAAGCAAGTTAAGTGCCGTCTGTAGTTTATTCGTGTCGATCTTTTGCAATCACCTTGTTAAAACATTGATGTTTTGGGTTACCTGATGTAACCCAAATACAGGCAAATTTACCTGCAGTACTTGCACTAAGGCGATCCAACCGGAATAAACAAGAAGATAAAACATTTAGTTTGAGTAGAGCGAAGAAGATGATAGCACAGCCAGCTATCGAAAGCGCTCGCATATAATAAATATAAGGTATATTATATGCGAGCACTTTCGACAGCTGAAGAAGCTAGCCACTCATGATGGCGAAACGTCGATAATAAATATCAAAAATCGACTGCCTTAAAACTCGAAAAATAGTTATATTGACTATCCCATATGATTAGGACATAAATAATACAGTTTTGGAATTTGATATTTTCAGAAAAGAAGAGAAAGCTGATGGTCAGTTGGTAAGGATCAGGGTTTTCAGTAAATCCCACACCGGTCAATTTCAAGAAGCAGTGAAAGTTTTAGAAACAGAACTCAACAACAAGTTGATCAAACAAAACCTTATTGGTAAAGTCTTTCATAATAGGACAGCAAATAAGAATATTCAGACAAAAAACGTTACATTTTCATGGCAGAGAGGTATAAAAATAGGACAAGGGAGGTTTGGCAAGGTATATGGGGCAGTTAATAATAATACTGGTGACATGATGGCAGTTAAGGAAATACCTCTCCAACATGATACTAGTTCATCGAAACATATAGCTGAAGAAATCAAGATTTTGGAGGGAATTGTTAACAAAAATCTGGTTAGGTATTATGGTGTTGAAGTACACAAGGTAGTCTATTTTGTGTTATTTTAAAGAAATGGAATAATGTGAACTCATTTTAGGATGAGATGTTGATATTCATGGAGTACTGCTCTGAAGGAACGCTGGAGAGTCTTATAGCAGGAACAGAAAGAGGTCTGACAGAACCTTTATGTAGAAGATATACATTCCAATTGGTGTCGGGAGTAGCCTGTTTACACGAACACGGAATAGTCCATAGAGATATCAAGACAGCAAATTTGTTCCTTACCAATGGAGGGAACTGTTTAAAAATTGGGGATTTTGGATGTGCGGCCAAGATAAAGTCCAACATAACCATGCCAGGAGAATTGAAAGGATTCGTTGGGACACAAGGTGAATAGATGTTCAAAAAATGATTGAAATAACTTGCTTGCTTTTGAGTTAATTGCATATTTGTTTCGATTTTCAGCTTATATGGCACCAGAAGTTTTTACTAAAAATATGTCAGAAGGTCATGGAAGGGCAGCAGATATTTGGTCTATTGGTTGTGTGGTCGTGGAAATGGTTTCAGGAAAGGTATTCAAATTACTTATTTGTATGCTGATGATTTTTGCACAGAACATCTTGAATTAAAAAGCAAAGTATTGCTGTCATTCCCTAAAAGAAAATAACATCTGCCGCCGCTGGACGTTTCTAGACGTGGCGTTGCTTTGAGAATAATGCTTCGATGAATTTCGGCGAATTTTCTACCGCCTTCGATTGCCATATATAAACGTTATCCACGTGCTTATCGATATAGTCAAGTGAAGTTTCGCGGACAGTGCGGTACAGAGCGATCTAATTAGGTGATAGACATTTGAATAATAGTTAAAGTTTAGGTTATATTAACAGGATCAGGGCCGCAACTTCGAATCGGATTTGTGGAAGGAAATGATGGCACTGTTGGGAATAAAGAAGACAAGAACAACTACACTTCACCCACAGTACGATGGAATGGTCGAGAGGCATAATCGCACCATAAATAACTACCTCTCGATGTTTGTCTGTGAAAACCAAATTGACTGGAATGAATAGGTTCCTTTCTTTTCTGTTGGCCTACAGAAGCTCCCAACATCATGCGACAGGTTACACACCATCTGTGTTGTTAATTAGCCGAGAATTGAAGCTTCAGATAAATGTAATGTGTGACAATAAATCCGAAATTTGTAAACAAACTTACCGGATCCAAATTACAGCTCTCCAGCGACAGGATGAAGACAAGATTTGACAAAAAGTCGCTGCTGGTGAGCTTCAAGGAGGGCAATGCAGTGTGGCTCTATCAACCCCAAAGTAAGAAAGGTTTGTGTCCCAAATTACAGAGACCATGGCAAGGTCTGTTTTTTGGTACCTTGGGAGCTGTCTGACTTGTCCATTCAGTCCAAGTCTGCAGAAAACACTGCAGCCTCTTGAGCTTATTGCGTTGTTCATTTTCCCATATTCTCATGACACCCATTCCATCAGTCTCGTTCCCTGTACTAGTTTGTACAGGTTCCGTGTTGGATGTTCGTTATATTCTTCTGGACGTAATTTCGTGCGTCTATATAATATTGCCTGCCTCCTGTGACTCAGTGCCTCACATTCCCACAAGATGTGTAGAGCTGTTTCTATCCCTTCGTTGGATAATCTGCAACTGAAGTCTCCGTTGTACAGCCCCATTTTATTCAGGTGTCCTCTAAGCGGACAATGACCGGTTAGTAACCCTGTAATGATTCTGAGCCGATCCCTACTATATTGAAGTAGTTCTTCGGTTTTTTTCTCGGACGGCTCCCGAATGAAGTTTCTACTGTGTTTGTTGCCAGGTACTTTTGTCCAGTACTCTGTGTGCTCCTTATTGGTCCATGTACTAATCTGGTTTCTTACCAATGATTTTGGTACCCCCAGAGCTGGTTCAGGACCTATATATGAAGTTGATGATCCGCGTCTAGCGCATTCATCAGCTATATCATTACCTGAGATTCCTGAATGCCCTGGCACCCAGTACAAAGTTAATTTGTTCCTGATTGCAAGTTCATTCAGTTCTTTATGGCATTCCCAGACCAGTTTTGATGTCACCTTCAGGTTTGTCAGAGCCCCTAGTGCGCTCTTGCTGTCTGTAAAAATATTGATCCGCTCATTTCTTTGAGGTCTCAATTTAATAAGCCTTGCACACTGCAAGATAGCATACCCTTCCGCCTGAAAGACGGATTTGTATGGTCCTAGCGGATAGCTGTAGTTTAAATTTCTATCCGCTCGGTATATTCCAGCTCCTGTTCCATGTTTGGTCTTCGATCCATCTGTATACCAAGTGTTTTTCCCAAACATGTTTTCGGGATGACTAATAGTCTTCCACTCTTCACGGCTTATGATTTTGGCCGTGAAGTTTGTGTTAAAGGTGTACTTCGGTGTCATGTGGTCCGTGCACATATTCAATATGCGCTCCTCCACTCGTTCCGAAATTTCTGTTCGGTGAGTTTTCCAGTCTGAATTGGCCCATCCTGGCCTCCCCCATTATCACAAGGTGTAAAGGAGGTAGATTCAGGAGTGTCTCCAATGCAGCTGTTGGGGTAGTTCTCATTGCTCCTGTCATTCCCAAACATGCAAGTCTTTGCACCTTGCCTAGTTTGTTGATGGCGGTCGCCTGCTTCATCTCTGGCCACCAGACCAGAGATGCATATGTTATCATGGGTTTAACCACCATCGTGTATACCCAATATACCATGTCTGGTTTTAGTCCCCATATTTTTCCATAGGTGCGTCTGGCGAGCATCAGTGCTAACTCCGCTTTCCTCTTTATCCTGTTCTTTGAATCTCAATTTTTTATCTAGTATCAAACCCAAGTTCTTTGCAGTCTCACCAAAAGGTATTGTGTCATTTCCTATTTTTTCTCTCTCTTTATCTTTTTTTTTTCTCTTGCTTTTCTCTAGTCTTCTTCTTCTTCTTGTTTACTGGTACTAGTCAGTAGGTATATCTTAGTTTTTAGTAAGGGTCTGAGTGGAAGACCAGTTTCTCTTTTCCTGGTGTTGAAAGAAAACTGAACTCTCTCCTATTA